TCCTGAGACTTGTGAGCATCTATGCTTCCCTCAGTGTGAGGAGATAAAGGCTACAGTGATTAGGCACAGGGAAACCCTGCACCATACCAATGAGGAGATCAAAAAAATCCTAGCAAACTGAATTCAACAGCACATCAAAAAGATAATTCACCATGATCAAGTAGGCTTCATCCCAGGGATGCAAGGATGGTTCAACATACATAAATCAATAAATGTGATTCACCACATAAACAGAAGGAAAGACAAAGACCATAAGATCGTCTCAACAGATGCAGGAAAAACATTTAACAAAATCCAGCACCCTTTCATGATAAAAAGAACCCTCAACAAACTAGGCATAGAAGGAATATATCTCAAAACGATAAAGGTCAAATATGACAAACCCACAGCCAACATCATACTGAATGGAGAAAAATTGAAAACATTCCCACTAGAACTGGAACAAGACAAGGGTGCCCATTGTCACCACTTGTATTCAACATAGTGCTGAAAGTCCTCGCCAGAGCAATCAGGCAAGAGAAAGAAATAAGGGGTGTCCAACTTGGGAAAAAGGAGGTCAAACTATCACTTTTCACTGACAATATGATCTTGTCTAGGAAAATCCCAAAGACTCCTCCAAAAGACAACTAGAATTAATAAATAAATTCAGCAAGTTTCAAGTTATAAAATCAATGTACACAAATCAGTAGCATTTCTATATACTAATGCCAGTTGAGTCAAATTAAGGACTCAATACTATTTAAAATAGCTACAAAGAAAATAAAATACCTAGGAATGTACTTAAACAAGGAGGTGAAATCATGAATTTCAAAGGAGCTTTATTCATAATAGTCCCAAACTGAAGACAACCCAAATGTTTATCAACAGATGAATGGATAAACTAACTGAGATATGGTCATACAATAAGATATCACTCAGCAATAAAAAAGAATGAACTATTGATTCATTCATGAAAAAGGATGTACATAAGTCTTGACAAGTTGATTCTAAAATGTATGGGAAGAACAAAGATCAAGGGTAGCCAAGGAACTGATGAAAATATAAATAAATGGGTTCTCTCCCTTTCAGATATTATAGTTTCATATAAAGCTATAGTAATTGAGGAAGTGTAGTACTCACACAAAGACAGACAAATTGACCAATGGAACAAAATAAATAGCCTCTAAATTTATATATAAATCAATAAAAACTTTTGATGTACCATGGAGGTGGTATGGCAGATCAGCAATGAAAGGAAGGACTATGCACTGGCTCCATATAAAATTGGATTCTTGTTCTCCATCATACACAAAATCAATTTTAAAAAAATTTAAATCATAAATATCAAAAGTAAAACTAAACTTTTAGAAGAAAAAAGAGAAAGAAGAGAAATTCTTGCATATATGCATCAGGGGGGCATGTGGAAAAATGTTCATAGCACAACCTTTGTAAGAGGAGTGAACAAAGCAAAACAATCACCGAATTCCATAAAGTGTGGTCTAGTCACACAATAGCATACTATGACCCTATTGGAGGAATCTTAGTAACATAATGTTGAGTAAAAACAGTAAGTCCCTGTGTGACACCTTTTTTATTAAGAAAAAAACAAGAGAAACTTAAACACGTATTTTTAGATATATGCATGTATGGAATAAAACTAAAACAAAAAAAAAAGGGAATTATAACACAGCTTTGGGGAAGTGATTACTACTGGGGAAATAAGCAGAGGCCAGGGTAGGACAGGAGCATGGAGGCGGATGTCAATTGCTAGCAATGTTTTAGTTTTTGGGTCAGTAGTAGGTGGGTACAATGGATATTTCACTTTCATTATATATTAAATAAATAATATATGGTAACCTAATCTTTGATAAAGCAGACAAAAATATACTATGGGGAAAAGATTCTCTCTTCAATAAATGGTGCTGGGAAAACTGGATAGCAATATGCAGAAGAGCAAATCAGGACCCCAACCTCTCACCCCTCACAAAAATTCACTCAAGATGGATAACAGACCTAAACCTAAGACACGAAACTTTAAGAATCCTCACGAAGAAGCATAATTGGGGCAACAACCCTGATCAGACTATGGTCTAGCCAAGAATTTACTGAGGAAGACGCCCCAAGGCAATGCATCTGCCAGCAGCTAAAATAAACAAATGGGGATCTGAATCAAATTACAAAAGTCTTCTGCACTGCCAAGGAAACCGATCATTAGACGCAATAGGACAACACCCAGAGCTGCGGGAGACGAAATATTTGCTCTCCTAACGACATTCCCGATAAAGGAACTAATAACAAGAATTCACTCTAGAACTTAAAAGAATAACACAAGAAAAAATCAAACAACCCATCAAGAAATGGGCAATGGAAATGAACAAGAAATTTCTCCAAAGAAGACAGATTAATGGCATTGCAAACCATATAAAAAATGTTCAACATCTCTAATCATTAGAGAAATCGCAATCAACAACCACAATGAGATACCACCTAAGCCCCAGTGAGAATGGCGACCTGTATCAAGAAATCCCAACCATGCTGGCGAGATGCGGAGAGACAGGACACCTCTACACTGCTGGTGGGAACTGCAAATTAGTGCAACCTTTGTGGAAAAGAATTTGGAGATTCCTCAAAACAACTAAAAATAGAAATACCATTTGACCAGGGGCAATAGCAATTGTTGGGCATCTATCCAAAAGAACACAAGTCACTATTATTGCAGACATCTGGACCCGCGAATGTTTATAGGCAGCACAATTCACTATTGCACAAGGGCATGAAAACTACACCCAAGGGTGCCCGTCAACTCATGAGTGGATAAACTAAAATGTGTTATACTACCCTCACAATGGAATATATTACTCAAGTTCTAAGAAACGATAAAGTGAACTAGCACGTTTATGCTCATCCGTGGATTAAGCTTAAGCTGTAATACAAAGCGAGAGCGACACACAGACTGGAAATGGGGCTAGCACTCTACTGCCCACCATCCAAATTGGTACTGACAGCCTAAAACTAATGGTGTTCAAATAATTGTACGTGTTCAACAGGGATCTGGGGGGAGGAGACCCACATCTTAAGGAGTGATGAGTTGTGTGTAGGGGGGAAAAAGGATTACCTCTATCCCTTTTTAGGGGAGGCCAAAGAAACACACTGTAACCAAAATGTCTAAAAAAAATTTTTTTTTTTTTGTTAATGGGAGGTGAACAGGTGGAAAGGGGAAGGAGGGGGAAGGGTACGCACTTTCATGTGGGTGGGCAGGGCGACACCTTGAAGCATGGACACGCTTGAAGCTCTGGCAGAGTGGGGTGGGGAAGGGGGGCGAGGGGCAAGATATGTAACCCTAACAACTATTTGTACCCACAGAATTTGGGAAAAAATAAATTAATTAATTAAAAAAAAAGAAATTAACCTAAAACACAACAAGGGACATAAATTAAAAGTAAAAGAATGTGTTAAGATGATTGGTTAGATCAGACTGCATTTCTCATAGCAGGGGTGAGTAATTTTTCATGAAACTTATTTCAGTATATGTGTATTTATATATAGGTAGTGATTCATGATATAAAATATATTTCTTGGCCGGGCATAGTGGCTCATGACTGTAATCCTAGCACTCTGGGAGGCCAAGGCAGGAGGATCCCCTCAAAGTCAGTAGTTCGAAACGCAGCGACTGACAAGAGTGAGACCCTGTCTTCTTAGCTAAATAAATAGCGACAAGAAATAACTGGTCAACTCAAAAACACCTTACACTAGGGAAAAAGAAAATTAGCCGGCATGGTGGCGCATGCCTGTCAGTCTCAGCTACTCAAGGAGGTGAGGCAGAAGGATTGCTTGAGCCCAGGAGTTTGAGGTTGCTGTGAGCTAGGCTGACGCCACGGCACTCTATCCTGGGCAAAGAGTGAGACTCTGTCTCAAAAAAAAAAAAAAAAAAAAAAAATACTACTATACCATCGAGATAGTACCTACCTAGGGCTACTATCACTACCCCCGCTCATACCCCCCGGTGTCACTTGTCTTATTCTGAGTTATGGTTAAAAAAAGAGTTTGACAGCTAGTATCCTAAAGAACTTCCTGCTGAAGTACGCCAGCAGCTATGTGCAAAAAAGTTCACAGCAGTGTCGTTTTTATGATGAAACATAAAGCAAATGTGAACTGCTCATAGGAAAATGGAGGAATATCCATACATTGGAATACTATACAGCACTGATAAATGAACAAAGCTCCAAGCCTCAAAACAGATGAATCTCAAAAATATAATATTGAGGAGGAAAAAGTAATAGAAGCATACAAACAGTGTAATTCTATTTATATAAAACTCAAAGGTAGGCAAATCAAATCATAGCTTAGGGATACACACATAAAGTAATAGAGAAAAGCAAGGGAATGATTAAGATAAAATCCCAGGACAGTGGTTACTTTAGGGATTGGATGGGGTTAGGGTTGGACAGTGCTGGGACCAGCACGGGTTCCACAGGGGGCTTTGAAGGACTGGTGGGCACACAAGGATTTGTTTTATTATTGTTGCTATTTAAACCATTAAATGCATGTTGCATATATTCTTTTTCACATAGTGAGAACATTATAAAACAAAAGGAAAATGCTGACAGCAGCTTGTGTGCTCTAGTTCTGCTCATTCTTCTAGTTTAGAGTCACTGCCTCACCTAAGATTTCCTACTAAGTCTTGGGACTGGCATTCCCAGCCCCAGTTTCTGACCCTCCTGTCCATCTTCCACATAGCTACCAGACAGGCCTTCCTAAATCACATCTCACAGCAGGCCACTGTCCTGCTCAAGCACCTTCTGTGGCTCCCCACTGCACACTCCATAAGCCCCAACTCTGCAGCTCTACACATTTCCCCCCCACTTGAAGTAGCCATCCTCTGCACCACTTTCTTTCAAGGCCCACACCAGACCAGGAATTTCCATTTTCCCATCCACGGTATAGCTCCCTTTCACCCCCTGTCTCTGAGGCCTCCCAGTCAGAACTCTGCCATTGTAATAAGGTGAGGTCACAAAGCCCCCGGGAATAAGAGGCCTAGTTCTCAGAGGCAAGGATTCCCGGAGCTCTTGAACTGGAGCCCGGCTTCGTGCTCAAGAGAGGCTTGGAGGAGACTACAGCTCCTTCGTCATGGTGAGACTTGTCCACACAGCTCATTGGTCCCACTGGGAGGAGAGGCCTTGGACTCCACCCAGATCTGCTGCCCAGCCAGGCAGAAGTTGTGTGTACAGTTTTGGGGAATAGGAGAGGAAAGAGTGGGCGGTGGGAACACAGCAGAGACTGAGACGATGTTTTGCAGTCTGCCCCTGTCTGTCCCTCCACACTCCGTCTACCTTCGAAAGAAATTTGCACTGGGTTGGTGCGAACAGTTCCTCCTCTCTGGGCTGAGGGTGTGTGTGTGTGTGACTTTATCTGGACCTCGGGTGTACAGCAAAGAGCATGGGTTTTAAATGCAGTTTGTCCCAGCCAGTGACCAGCGGGGTCATGCACTTCCCTCTGGTCCCTACTTCCTTGCACATGGCAGATGTGATGAGCATCAGCTTGCCCAAGGAAAACAGTGGAGATGGTCACATCCACCCAGCCTGCTTCACTAGACAGTGACAGGCAAGAGATTTTGATGTGTCAGGCACTGTGCCAATGTGAGTTACTGTCCGCAGGCCGCTTATGCATTGGCGTGGGGAGGCAAGGTGCAGGGAGGGACAGGGCCGGCTGATGTTATAGACAGCACTTCCCATGGTGGCCTTGGGTTTGGGGACAGAGCTGGAATCTTAATCCTTATTATTACTTTTGATGAATAGCATTCGCCAAGATAAGGAAGCCCCTTCATAGTCCCAGATTTTTAAAATTAGGAATTACTACTGAATTTTATTAAACCCTTTTTGTACTAATTTAGATGACCAGCTGTAGCAAATTACAATACTCAATTTCCTAGCGTTCACTTATCCCTATTTCTGGGGTGATCTCAGTCCAATAGCCCCCTCGACAGATTGCTGCCCCATGCTGCTGCCTGTCGTTTCCTTTGGCGTCCCTGGGCCTGGGAGAGCACCGGCCACTGCACCACTGAGCACACAGCATCCTTTCACCACCCCTCGGGATAGGAAGGACTCTCATTCCCATTGCACAGATGGCAAAACTGGTGCCCCCGAGAGGTTAGATGACTTGCTGGTGACAGCAGGTGGACGGGTGGGTACTGGAACTGCTTAGCCTCCGTCTGCTGTCCTCTGCCGCCCCACCCCACAGTGCGAGGAGATAAAGGCAACTGTGCAGAACCACGTGCAGAGCCTGCGGCACAGCAAGGAGGACCTGAACAGGCTGAACCAGGCCATCCAGCGGCTGGCGGTGCGGGTGGACGGCGCTGAGAGTCAGGTGAGGGTGGGAGTCGCAGGCGGCACAGTGGTGATGGCGGGAGGGTGTCCATTATTTGTGACAACTGGGCTAGACACCTTCCCCGCCAATCCTTGGAGTACACAGATTGTCTCTTTGTGAATGTCTGAGCAAACAGCAGCGTGGCAGCATGTGTATATCGTGCTCGCCTTGGCCTACGACTCTGAATTTTATGCAGGTAAGTAATGGACATGAAGGTAAATATGTAGGAATACATATGCTTGTTTGTATATTGTTTCTTTTTATATGTGTATGTACATTTTTATGTCTGTGTTTTGTTTTTCTTACTTGGCATGAAGTTTGAGTCCATCTTGAGGAATTGCAAGATATTACCTAGAAACCCAGTTTTCTGGGTTACTTTTTAAAATGTGAAGATCTGGAAATGTTAACTGTGATTCCCAAATGGTAACATTTGGCTAGAGAAGACAGGCCTCTATCTTTTTTTTTTTTTTTTTTTTTTTTGCGACAGAGTCTCGATTGTGCCAGCAGCGTAGAGTGAGTGCCGTGGCGTCACCCCTCGCTCACAGCACACCTCAAAATTTTTTATATATATATTTTAGTTGGCCAATTAATTTCTTTCCATTTATAGTAGAGACAGGGTCTCGCTCTTGCTCAGGCTGGTTTTGAACTCCTGAACTTGAGCAATCCACCCGCCTCGGCCTCCCAGAGAGCTAGGACTACAGGCGTGAGCCACCACGCCCGGCCCAGGCCTCTATCTTGTCTCTCTTCTTCACATGGGGTATATGCTCCCTGGTGCCACGGTCCCCACCACTCCCAATAGCTTCCTTTGGCTGCAAGGCAGAGGGTCCTTTGCCACTTATCACCACCCCGGCTGCACTGTTATGATCCTTGTAGTAGAGAAAGGGTGCTGAACCTGTGTCTCTAAAGTAGAGCAATGAACAACTGAAAATGTGCAAGAGGTCCCGGTGATTTCAGGAAGATGGGAGAGGGCATTTTTTCTTGTGACACTGGATACTCTTTTTTTTTTTTTTTTGAGACAGTCTCACTCTGTTGCCTGGGCTAGAGTACCGTGGCATCAGCCTAGCTCACAGCAACCTCAAACTCCTGGGCTCAAGCAATCCTTCTGCCTCAGCCTCCCGAGTAGCTGGGACTACAGGCATGCACCACACCACCATGCTCAGCTAATTTTTTTCTATGTATTTTTAGTTGGCCAATTAATTTTTTCTATTTTTAGTAGAGACGGGGTCTTGCTCTTGCTCAGGTTGGTTTTGAACTCCTGACCTTGAGCAATCCTCCCGCCTCGGCCTCCCAGAGTGCTAGGATTACAGGTGTCAGCACCACGCCTGGCCTGGATACTCTTGATATATGTTTAGCATGTGGCCTTCCTGTTTCTGATGCTTCCAGGCAGGCCCCTGTAGAAATGATTGCTTTCTCCCAGTCTCCTGACCTTTTCTCTTGGTACCCTCTGTCAAGACCCCTGGCTCATGTCCCACCCCTCAGAGAGACGGGTTTCTGCTCCCAGTCTTCTTACTGTCTGCAAATGAAGTGTCTCAGGCTCAAAGGGACACTTGTGGAGGATTTGTCTCCCTTGTCCAGGACCTGATGACTCTGAGGAGGGCTGAGCGGCTCAGGTTCTAGGGGGGCAGAGTGAGTGGGTGGCCTGTTGGGGTTCAGTCTTCCACCAGCCACAGCTGCTCTGGTTTCCTAAGCAGAAAGCACACCTCAGCAAGATAGGCATTTGTCATTATTTTTTTTCTCTGAGACCATAGGCTCCTATGGGGAATGGATATTCTTCCTGTTAGTTTTCCTTTTGAAACAATAACCCTAGCATCACCTACTAAAGAGCATTTGATGCTTCCTGGATCCCAGCTCATATCAGAAGTGTCACCATACTAGACGTAAAAGGCTCTCTTACAGCCATCCCAAATGTTGGGTCCCAAATCTTCACTCTGAGAGCAGAAGGGTGGGCAGGCTCTTTTCACCCTGTGGTATTGACACACAGACACAGGTTTCATAACAGGCATGCTCAGTCCTCACAGTCACGGACATTCTCCAATGCCTCATTGTCACTCCAGCCTCTGAGAAAGGTCTGGTTCCGTGAAGGGAAGGAGTGAGGGCCAAAGATGTCCTTCTGTGCTTGGTCTGCCCTTCGCCCCCAGTCCTGTGAACTAGAGACAGCTAAGGAACGGCTGGAGGGTGCCCCAGGCAGTGCCAAAGGCAAGCTGGCCTGGCTGGAGGCCGCCCTGCAGCAGGCCAAGGAGGACATGGTGCGGCAGCTGCGGGAGTACCAGGAGCTGATGGTCGTGAAGCTGGGCCTGGACTTTGAGATCGCCACCTACCGCAAGCTGCTGCAGAGCGAGGAGCAACGGTGAGGGCCGGGAGTGCTTCAGATGTGGGCTGTGGCGGGGACTGGGGGGAGTGCAGGGGCATAGGGCAGCCACCACCCTCATCAGCAGGGGAGGAGTGGGGAGAGATGACCTGGGTATCCAGGGATTTGTTCTCCTGGAGCCAGTTTTTTTCCCATCATCTTACAAAAAGTCACAGGAATGGGGTGACCCATCAAGTCATTCACCCCAGTATCAGACAGCAGGGGCAAGTTTGTCTATGGAGACAGTGGCAGGAACGAAGGCCTAGCCCATGGGAATAAGGTCCCCAGTGTGATATGCCTTCTTCTTCTCCACATTGCCCTTCTCCCCAGGTCTGGTAGGGCAGGGTTAAAGAACAGGCAGACCACAGAAGGAAAGGAGGAGGGCCAGCAGGAGTTGGGTACACTGGCTGCAGGAGGAGGAGGGAACCGAACACTCACCATGCAGCAGGCATATTGCACGATCACCTCCTTTAAAGCCCACAAGTACCCTGGCAGGGAGGCACTATCATCCCCGTATTGCAAGTCTCAGAGAGGCTAAATGACAACAAGGACTCACAGGTAGAGAGTGACTGGGTGAGGCCTGAACAATATTCTTCAGATAATTGAGTTACCTCCTTCGTGGTCTCCTTTGAAGGTTTAAAATGCCTCCCTCATGGTCTCACCTTCCAAGATCAGGTTAGGCCAGAGACAGCGGAGATCTTTTTGCCTTCTCCCTCCTCTAAGAAGTCATCAATGAAAGCGAGTTACTTGCATGTGAGGCAGGAGGGATCGAGGTCAAAGGTCTGGAAGGAGTTTTAACTCCAAGGGCAGTGGGGATCAGAGAGTCAAGGCGGCGCTTGCAGCGTGGAAAGACTGCCAGTCTGGGAGGGTCTGGAGAGTGTGTCTTGGAGAAGGGAGGACGTCAGGCCTGGCAGGTGGATAGATGTACTCACCTGCTCCCCTCTTCTCCCCGCAGGCTTGGCCTGGGCTCTGGGACCGGGAGCCTGCGTAAGTAGACAACAGGCGTGGCGGGTCCCAGTGGTCGCTCTACCTTTTCTTCCCGGGCCCCTCCCCCACCCGCCCCTCCTGTGTGCGCATTTTCCCGGGAAGGGAGACGCGGTGTGTTTGTCCTTGTGTCCGGGACTGCTCCCTTTTTCTCCTCTCGCGGGTGACTCCGTGTGTTCATGTGTGTTGGGGGAGGGGGCCCTGGGGTCTGTTCGTTGGGGAGGGTCTGTGTATCTGTCTGCACGTCTGTCTTCTGGGGCGGGACGGGGGCGCGGGCCCGGCAGGGCCTTCCTCCTTCCGACCGCCGCTCTCGGCTCAGCTCCCGGCAGCGCTCCCGACTCGGGCCCCGCCCGCCCGCTCCCGCCCGGGGCCGGCCCCGGCGCCCTGGAGACGAGCGCCCCTGGCGGCGGCTGCGCGCTCTGCGGCTCCCCCGGCTGTGCCGGCGACTTCAGCTGCAGCGGCTCCCGCGGATGTTGAACCCTCCTGCTCCGGGGAAGACAAGCAACCCCAGCTTCTGCCCCCAAAGACTTGACCTTTTTGTCTCAGACGCCCCCTCCCATGGAACTGGCCCCCACCTCACCTGTCCCTCTTGCCCCACACCCCGGAGCGTAAGGTGTTGAAGCACAGATTACAGAACCGTGACCGACCCGTCCCCAGTGCGGAGATAGCCTGGACGCTGGTGCCACTGGGTTGGCCTGTGGCTTACCTGGACCCAGCACCCTGTCCCTGTGAACTGCCCCCACCCCTCTTTTCCAAGGACCCCTCCTCTGCAATAAAATGTTCTGCAGGGGACTGAGCTGCCAGCTGTCTGGACCTGGATTCCCCCCGGCCGTGCATTCCCAGAGCACAGACCGCCTCGGCTTGCTGGAGAGGTGACAGGTGGAAAGGTCCTGGGAAGCAGCCCTTCCCTTGTGGCATGTGGGTCCTAACAACTTAAGTTTATGGCGATCTGATATTCCAGTACCAGGATCTTTAGGATGGGGAGGAGGAGTGAGAGGGCCCTGGGGAAAGTAAGAGAAGGTTAATTCATGCAGGAGGGTCTAGCCTGGAGTCAGCTCTTCTGGGCAGAGGAGTTGAGAACAGCATTCACTCATCCATTCATTTGCTCTACAAATCCTTATGGAGTGGCCTCGAAGTTCTTGGCACTGGGGCCTCAAGGGTGAGCAAGACACCCTCTGGGCCTGGCTCCCTGCGGATGAGGTGCTAGGTGGGAGGCAGGCTATACCTGGGCAAACAGGCAGCAGGAGAATGGGGCACTGGAGCACAGGCTCTGGGACAGATGGCTCTGGGGGATATGAACACACTTGGGTGGCCCAGGCCTGGGTTCCAGTTTAGCAAGTGAGTGGATGGTGGGCAGGGGAACAACACATTAGGAGAATAGACAGTGTGGGCTTTGGAATCAGATGGAGACTTCAGCTCGCCTCTACATGTGTATCTGTGGTGTAGTTTGGTCTGAGTTTTAACAAGGCAACTGGCCTTTGGGGGTCAGAGATGGACCAGTTTGGGGAGTAGGGTGGCCAGAGAAAGGCTAGGTTTCCGGGCTCTTTTCTTGCCACACAGGCCCGAGAGAAGCTTCTGTTCAGTGAGTTCACATTCTTTTCTATTGCACAAAGGATTACATCATCAATGCGTCTTGGGAACAATAGTTCCTGCTTTCTATGTCCCTGGGTGGGGCTAAGGTGCGTCATTGGCCGGAGGCCTTGGCTTTACCTTTTAAGGAACTCTAGTGCCAGAGTGTCTGCAGTGTTTTTCCTGGGTCCCTGCCCGGGGAACAGATATCCAAAGGCCCTCTTCCTGGATAAACAGAACAGTTTCATGCAAGAGGAATGGGATGAAACTTGGCTGGCAGGCTGCTACCCACCTGAAGGGTAGGAGTAGGGCTCCCACATCAGCCCCAGTGGATCAGCACTGACCTACTCCAGTTGTATAAATATTCTTACCAATGCTTCCAAAGCAAAACAGCTGCCTGAAAGCAGAGCTGCCCCTCTGCAAGATTGTTTAGTTGCCCCCTCTCTGTTCCTTGCATTTTGCTAGGATGTAATTCTATGTAAATTCTATGATTTTCAAGGCCAATTTTCTCTAGCTCCTGCTGTGATGATCATGTCAGCAGGGGAGCTTTGTCACCAAGGACTTGTAGGCAGGATGTACTTTCTGCCACGTGCATCACCGGGGACTGGCTGCCGGTATTTTTTCCCCTCTTCAACCCCCAAGCCTGGACTCGCCTGATGTCAGCCCAGGAGATCCCAAGGGCTTTGAGGTCAACTTTGAGTCCCTTCCTGGGCCAGTTCCATGTGGGTCACCAGCAGTGTTTGTGGTTTGGGGACTGATTCTCTGAGAGGCTTCCCTGGCCATGGGCCACATTCCAGCCTGGGGTGGGAGACAACTGCCTGGTGCTTTTATGGAGAGTCATTCACTAGCCCATTTATAAGCTTTGTGACTCAGGGTGACTTCTGAAGGGAAGACGGCTGTCACCAGTTCAGTCATTGCTTCTCAGTAGAGGGAGACCGTAAGGGGTCAGTCTTCCGGGCTCCTCACGCCTGCCTCACACTTCATAGCACTGAAACATGTAGGATGCGAACTTAGCTGTGCTCACTCCATTTCTGAGCCCCTCAAGGGCAGTGACTGTCTTGTGGCATCCATCTGTCTCTGGGACTCGCCCCACAGTAGATGTGAACAGGTTGAGACTCTATGGTCTCGGCTGGTCTGCCCTGTCCTGGGGTATATTGAGCCCTGTTTTTTCCACCATTAGTATGTCTTATCCTACGTAACCCCTTGGAAGTCTCTTGTGGAGTCTAAATGCAGTCTTTCCTGCTGTCATTCCAGCTGCAAGATGTCAACCCGACCACCCTGGAGTAGGGACAGAAAGGCCTGGATTCTGTTCCCATTCTTGCTCTTACCTTGACCAAACTCTTCACCTGTTTCTGGGCCTTAGCGCCTGCTTCTGACCTGCATGGGGTCACAGCAGAGAGGGCTGGTTGGAACGATTGCACACTCTGGAATTCTCCAGGGTTCTGTCCTGCTTTGAATTCCATCAGTGGCAGCCAGGAGACCTCGGCTTGATCCTGCCCCTTACACAAACCTTTGTCTTTTCAGACTACCCACACTTCTGGTCTCTCAATACCCTAAATTATTTCTATTGCCTTGAGCAGTATGGGTGGGGGACTTCCATTCCTGCTGCATTCTCTGGGCCTCGGACTGGACGTTTAGAGATTCACCTGCTGCGAAGATTCATGTTCAGTGACTCATCTAGGCCCATAATGCAGCTGGGCTGCCATCTCCCCACATCCACCCACCACCCATAAGATCCTCAGTGGCAGGTGAACACTTCCCTGCATGAAGGAGTGCAACCGCCCTGGCAGACGTGGAGATTTCTCTCTGTCCCTGCAATCTCTGATCACACATATAAGTGTAATTAGAGGCTGGCCATGGCCTGATCCTGGAGGAACCTCTACTTTACATTCTGCCAAAGAATAGTAGTAATGATAAACACACGTAATGATTATTTTGTGGCAGGCACTGCCTAAGCAATTTATGTATGTGAAATTGCTTAATGAGTTAGGTGCTCTTTTCATCATCCTCATTTTAGAGATGTGCAAACAGGCACAGAGAGGGCAGGTACATTGCCTGAGGCCACTCAGCCAGGAAGGAACAGAGCCCAGCTTTGGACCTAGGCAGTCTGGCTGTCACCTTGATGCCACATCATTTTCTTGCTATGTGCTGTGTCTCTCCTTGAGGAAATGTATCAGCTATGGCAGGTCTCCAAACCCCAGAGTGACTCCATTACAAAAAAAAATAGAATGCCATGTTAAAGGCTTTTTGAAACTTTAAATCATTTCATGGATTCATCCCTTAAAGAATTCCAATAAATTACTCAGGCATTAGTTTTCCCCACCAAAGCAATGAGTGATGTTTCCTTAAGCCCTGAATGACAGGTGAATCTCACTTTCCTGATCCTCAGTTTGCAGATGTGCATGGGATGTTTTCTGGGCAGCAGCTGTGGTTTAGTGAAATGAGCACTGGAGACACAGAGTACAAACCTCAGCGGAACCACCAAACTAAATGAGAGACCCTGCCCCAGTTACTGAGTGTCCCTGAGTTCTGGTTTCTTCATCTGCAAGATGTATCGTTAAGGTGGTATGGATAAAGTCACATCACATATGGGCCTGGCACAATTCTTCACTCAATCTAAGACTCCTGTGAGCCAAAGGATAGGACTGTACTGGAGACTCCAGGCCTGGGCCTTTCTCTGCTCCATGTGGCTTTGGGGACCCTCCCAAGCTCCAACCCCTGAGGAGGTTAACAGAGATGCAGACAAGGCCCAGGGATGGCTACATTGATTTATTGGAAACACAGATCAAGACAGATAAACAGGACAGAGGAAGAAGGAGAGAGGCTGGGGGGCTCTGGCCACTGGTCCCATGGCAGCCCAGGGTAAAGTCCTGGTCCTGGTCCTCCCTGCCTCTGAGCCCCATTCCTATGGCCACAAAAGGAACTTCTTTCTGGGGTAGCCTTTCCCAATGTGGGGCAGCAAAGTGAGGGAGGAGGGACCTTTCGAAATGCACGAGAGGGAGCTCAGCACTTGCTCCAGGTGCCTGGCCTGCATGGGCGGAGATAGGCAGGGTGGGAGAGATGCCCGGGGCCAGGGCTGGCGCTGGGGAGCCTAACATTTCCTGCAGCTGCTGGTACAGGAGCCCACACCTAAGGAGCTGATGCCGCAGGAGCCCACACCGCAGGTGCCCAGGCCGCAAGATGTGACTGAATTGCAGGGCGTGCACAGCCCGGTGCTCACCGCCAGGTTCCCGGTGCACGGGGCACTGCAGACGCTGCCGATCACAGGCCTGGAGCCTGACACGCAGAGGTCCCCGCACACGACCCCGCCCCGAGAGCTGCTGACACCTGTGAACCCCAAGGCTGAGTTAGAACTCTGGGGGGCGAGCTGTCTTACCTCCCCGACCACCACCCGCCCAAGCACTAGCTCCGGGTGTTAAAAGTCAGGAGCATCTTTAGTATACAATTTTAGGTCCATCTAGTCTGAAAGCCAAGGTCTTTCCTGCTGTCTGACCCCAAATCTCTCCTGCTGTGATGCCAGCCTGTGCTTTTATATCAGCTGTCAGTGAACCCTCCTTCTGGACGATGCCCTCCCTCACAGGGAAGTAGCAAATTCCCCCAAATACCGGGGCCCAAATACTCACAGACATTCACAGCCCCAACGCCTTCACACAGTCTGAGGGCGAAGGAGAAAAAGGCAAAGTTAGTAACTGGGCCAAAGTGGCTGACAAGAGTTCCCAAAGTCTTAGAGTGGGGTCAACAATTGGTCGAAAAATTAGGGGCAAAGGGGTCTGCTGGAGTACCCTGCACCAACTAGCTCCCCACCCCAAAAGTGGTAGAAGATAGTTTTTTTTCCAACACAGCCCGGGCCACCACTCGCCAAGGGCAAGTGAGGGCTTGGGCAAGGGGTAGGGATGGGTGGCCCTGGCCCAGGCTGGGTTGGACCCACCTCTGCTCCTCGCCCTCCAGCAGGCGCCTGTAGGTGGCGATCTCGATGTCCAGGCCCAGCTTGGAGTTCATCACCTCCTGGTACTCCTTGAGCAGGCAGGCCATGTCCTGCTTGGCCTTCTGCAGGGCGGCCTCCAGCTCAGCCAGCTTGCAGCGCGCGTCGCTCAGGGCAGCCTCTCCTTGCTCCTCAGACTGGGTCACGGCAGCCTCCAACTTGGAGTTCTGGGGCCCACAAGAGAACAGAGTTTGTTATAGTCCCGGGTGTCTGTGTCAATTATCTGCAGGTGTCCAGTTTCTCCACTCAGCTGGGAACGCCCCAGAAACAGAGCCCCTTGCCTTACCACCTGGGTCTCCCTGAGTGACCAGAACCAGGGCCTCTACATGTACCATGGGCTGGAGAATGAATGGTGAGATCCAGATAGGGCACACCTGGGCCGTGGGACAGGGTAGACCCTGAGCCTCTCTGGTCTAGGGCACAAGTGACCCATACCTGGCACTTGGCGTTCTCCACCTCGGCCGTCAGCCTCTGGACCATGCGGTTCAGCTCGTTGATCTCCTCCTTGGTGCGGCGCAGGGTCTCCCCGTGCCTGATCACCGTGGCCTTCATCTCCTCGCACTGGGGAAGCAGAGGCGCTCGTGAGGATCGGGACGGGACATGTCATCCATTCAGGACACCAGAGATGATTGTGCAGGTTGTGCAGTGCTCAGCCTGTGCAGCCACACATGGCAGTCCTGCCCTGCCATTGCAGCCTCAGAGAGCCAGCTGTTCTCTCACTGTCCTTAGGGATCAGAATCCCCAGACTAGAGAAGCCTTTTCTCAGAGATTCCTCGCTTCCCTCCCTTATCTAGGAGGCAGGTGTCCTGTGTCACTCACCTTGCTGCGGTACCAGGACTCGGCCTCTGCCCGGCTGCGGCTGGCAATGTCATCGTACTGAGCCTTAATCTCGGCAATGACACAGTCCATGTTCAGGTCCCGGCTGTTGTCCATCTTGACAACCACCGAGGTGTCTGAGATGTGGGCGTTGAGGACGCGGATCTCCTGCAGGAGTTGGGGACGGGGGTGGCTGGAGCTGGTTTAGGCCACAGCCCCAGTCACCCCAGCCTGTACCCATCTTCTCACCTTCGCTGGTCCCGGGCCTTGCCCCTTTCACAGCCTCTTGGACCGCCTCCCCCACCACACCCCGTCCAACGCTGCACCCCACCCCAGCGCCCTCTTCTCTGCCCGCTGCAGACTCCTGCCTGGCCCACGACCCGCACCTCCTCATACAGTCGCCTCAGGAAGTCGATCTCCTCGGTCAGGGCCTCCACGTTGGCCTCCAGGTCTGACTTGCGGAGGTAGGCGCAGTCCACGTCCTGGGAAGGTGGGAGTGTCGCAGCTCAGAGGACCCCGGAGATCCAGCCCCAAACTCCTCTCTCCGCTCACCCATCCCACGTGACCAGGGCAAAAGACTCCCCAGTGCTGCATTCCCACGCCACCTCCTTTCCTTGTCACCCTTCCTGGGATGACCTGGCACCATCCTCTTCGCCTCGGAGAACAGACCTCTTTGTGCCTTGGCGTTGGCTCCCAGCCTCTCATCCTCCCCCCACCCCTAGACACCGTGTCCTCCTGTCTCTCCCTCTGTCCTCTCCTGCTCCAGGAAGCCTGCCTAGACTGCATCCCCATCGCTGTCCCCTGGCCCTTCCCTCTGCCCCACCAGTCCTCCGGGGGCCACATGGCCACTCCTCCCGATGCTCCATCTTCTCCCAGAGCCCGGGATTGCTACAGAATGCTACACAGTCTGCACTGTCCCTGAGCAGAGACACTGAGGCTGCCATGGCTCCAGGGGACCTCAGTCACACGCCACGACCTCTGAAGCAAAGCAGGCCGTGCAGAGGTCAATGCAGTCACGCCCTTGTCCAGGGCAGGGACCAGTGGACATTCCAAGGTTACTGCCTTTGTCAAAGCCCTGGACTCACCACCCACTGCCTGCCCTCCGGGAACTTCCCAGCCTGCCTTGGAAAGGTCACTGCAGCCAGCCTGAGGTGGAGCCCCCGGCTGTCCCCAAGAAGAGTCTGTCGCCCTGAGTCGCATGTGTCTGTGCTCCCCACTCCCGTGTTACTCACCTTCTTCAGGGCCACAAACTCATTTTCAGCTGTTGCTCTCAGGGACACTTCCTCCTCATACCTGAGCCCGAACAGAGGAGAGGGCAGAGGGGAGGTCAGGGAAGGGCGGGTCTCTGCAGAGCCCCACCCCTTCATGCCAGTGAGGGGCAATAGCAGGAATCCCCTTTCTCGCTGGATTGGGACGTGTCTGAGATTCTCTCTCTGCTTTGCACTGGGGATGGGCAGGGCTCATGATCTGGGACCTCCCAGTCCAGTTCCCGAGGCTGCTCTAAGGTCACCTCAGGAGGCACAGAGGGACTCAGTCCCCAGTCCCGTGCTGGGTCTCCAGCCTGCAGCCCAGCGTCCCCTCACCTGGCTGTGGACCCTAGCTCAGGCGTGGGGCCTGCCAGACCCACAGGCCTCAGGACTCGGAACCCGAGGCAGTGGGACACCCAGAGCCCTGGGTCCTGTCACTCCTGGGTGCCCTGGAGCTCTCATGTGATGCCATGCTAGGGGTGTCAGGGCTGAGGGGCAGCATGAGGAGGCCTGGAGGCTGCAGGGGCTTCCTGCCCCCAGGCAGAGGGAAGGGAAGGCTGAAGTAGGGCAGAGATAGCTCAGGTGGAGCCGCGGCCCTAGCCTCGGGCAGGCTTCTGGGCAGAGACTGCACAAGGAGGAGCGCCTGCAACGCTCCGTCAAGCCGGTGCTCCTTGTGGCCGCTCACCCCAGCTGGAAGTTCTTCCTATTGTCTAATCCTGTGTGCCTGACCTAGGCCCATTCCTGTGCCCCGCATTGCTCCCGGCCACATTCACCTCTTCTTGTAGCCCTCCAGCACCTCCTGCACGTGGTTGAGCTCTGACGACAGCCTCCCGCTGTCGGCCTCCACGCACTCGGCCTCCCGCCTCAGCGTCTCGATGTAGCCCTCGAACAGGGGCTCCAGGTTGCTCTCGCAGCACTCGCGGTTCTGGTAGAACTGCCACTTGGTCTCCAGCAGCTTGTTCTGCTGCTCCAGGAAGCGCACCTGCCATTCGGGTGGGGATGAGGGTCAGAGGGCTCCTGCCACCCCGAAGGCAGCTCTGGCGGGTGGTTGCTTTCAGCAGGGCTCCCACACTCGGAGCCCAGCAGAGTGGGCAGAGGGGGCAGTGGGAGACCAGGCCACTCCTGCTTTTCCTGGTCGCGATCTACGTCTAGGTTCCCGACTGGAGAATGCATCCAGAGTGGGGAACATCAGAGCCTGCTCTCAGGGGAGACAAGTTATCCCAGCAGATGAGGCCCTGCGGCATGTGCCAGGGAGACATGGAGGGCTCCGCCCCCTCACTCTGAGGCCAGGTGAGTCAGGAATCCTCCCAGGCAGAGCACCCAGGTCAGATCACAGATCAGGTGTCTGGGCATAGGACCAGGGACATGCTGTCACCGGCCACCCTCCCCCCCTGCATCTGGGAGTCAAACCCTGCACCCTCTCAGGAGGAACACGGTCCCCAGCCCGGGCCTGTCCCAACTTCTCTGAGTTCAGCAGCAGCTCTCACATCCTCCCCAACTCCCTGAGTGCAGCTGCCTGGCCACACCTTTTCCCACAAGCTCTGTCTTATCTCAACTGTCAGCTGAGTCTTTCTGGGCCTTGAAGGCCTGTGTTTGTCTGTCCTTGTGCCTCTGCCCTCACACTGGGCTCTCAGGCAGGCAGGGGTCTTTCTGTGCCAGATTTTGCCCTACCCACAGTGCCCAGCCCTGGCTGTGGCCATGGATGGGGGTTCAGGAAGGGTGTGATCCAGGACACCCACCTTGTCGATGAAGGCTGCGAACCTGCTGTTGAGGCACTTGATCTGCTCCTTCTCCTCGTGCTTGACGCACTGCGCGTTGGGGTCGATCTCCAGGTTGAGGGGCGTGAGGAGGGTCTCGTTGACCGACACGGTGGTGATGCAGGGGGGGCTGGGCCCGCACACGCCCCCGGAGCGGTATCCGAAGCTGCGCCCGCAGGAGCCTGCGCGGAAGCCCCCGCAGACGCTGTGGCTGCCAAAGTTGCCCGGGAGGCCGCGGTAGCAGGAGATGCCGCGGTAGGGGGCGGCGGTGATGCAGCAGCGGCCGGGCTGGGGCCCGCAGGCCGAGGCGCAGCTGAAGGCGCGGCCAGGGAAGCCTGATCCGCAGGTCATGGTGCTTGTGGACGTGTGGATAGGAGAATACAGGATGGGATATCTGGAGTCCAGGAGGAAACTCCAACGTGCTGTTTGGGGCACCTGAGCCCTATATATGCTCAGATTACGAAGGGACTGGGCTGTGCAGATGGGGTTGGGGCAATTTACGCTTTATGGGCTTGGGTGGTTAGCCAGGTCCAGCGCCTCTCCAAAATGTGCTTTAATGGAAGAGTGGACTGCACCCCTTTGTTTGTAAAGGATGCAGCCCCTGGGCGGTAGGTGGACTCAGCATGTTTCATCTTAGGAGTGCCCTGCCAGCAGGCCCTGCGCCCATCTACTGGCACTGGGAGAGCAGGGCAGGGAGGGTAGGGCAGGGCAGGAGGGGACCCTGTGTGTTCAGTGTGATGTGGGGAGGAGGGGACCCGGGACAGTCTAAGGTCTTAACAAATAATTTCTAGATTAGTCCATTCCAATAGTGGGTAATGTGTTCCTGAAACAAAAGTCTGAATTTTCTCATCTCCAGATTCTTTTCCTTTTTTTCCTGCCATGGCAGCTGTCAGTAGATTATTAAATATTTGTCTTTTATGTCTTTTTCAGCTTTTATTATGAGAGTTTTCAAACAGACAGAAAAGTGGAAATAATGAAACAAACCCCCATAGATGCTCCACCTAGATACCTATATTCAGCAGTTGCTAACATTATGCTGTATTTGTTTTCACATTTGTCCAATTATTTAACAGTTGCAGAAAGCATGGTATAGAACCCTTAAATACTTTACCATGCGTTTCTTAAGAATAAGGACAGCACCGTTTCCATATGTAAGAAAATTAACAATAATTCCAAAGAACCACTTACTACCCAATCCAGATTCAATTTTCCTAATTGTCCTAAAATTTTTTAAAATAGATTTTATGTGATTTAACTTGTGGCTCTAGCTTTTATATTTTCTATAAACTAGAAGTTAAATCTAGAGCCCAGCTGTCCAATTCAGTAGATAATAGGCATATGTGGCTATTTAAATTTAAATTAGTTAAACTTAAATAAATTAAAGTCTAGTTCTTCAGTTTGGCTATTCATATTTTAAGTCATAAGTAGCTACACTTGACTAGTGCCAACCTTATTAGACAGCACAGATAAAGAACATTTCCACCGTCACATAAAATTCCATCAGATAGCACTGGACTAGAGGCATGATTAGGTTTAGATTAAACATTTTGGGGTAGAATACTTCATAAGGGGTGCTATATAATTCTTATTGTATCTCCCCAGGTTGTAAAAAATGTCAGATTGGTGATGTTAAATTTGATCACTTGAGTACATTTCCCCCTTCACAATTGGAAAGAACTCTGTAGGGAGACATAGCTCCTATTTTGATAAGAGAATATTCCCTTTTTATTGATCGTCTACTATGTGATCATTGTTAGATACCATAAATGATCTCTAATTCTCACATCAATCATATGAAGTATGTATCCTTATCCCCATTTTACAGATGAGGAAACCAAGGCTCAGAGAGGTTAAATAACATCCCCAAAGTCTCCCAGTGGGTAAGTGGTAGAGCCAGGAGTTGTGAGGCCTTCTCACCTATGAGCTGTGACAACCCCTGGATTTCCTAATCCCTGAATAAGTTCAGGAGGGTCGAGAAAGTTGTTTAGGGGGGATACCTGTGGGTTTAGGGAGCGGGAGAGTCAGTCTTAGGAAGATGGGCAAGTCAGAGGGGGTTGCGATGCTTAGAAGCAGGAGGGGCCTACGTGTGGCACCAGGGCAACGAGAGGCTGTTCTGGAGCTGGGGAGGAGTGTGGGTTAGAAGCGCAGCATCCTGTGGGTAAGCACTGAAGGAAGGGGATGGAAAGCAACAGTTTTAGTTACTTGGATACCTCTGGTATATGGTGATTACTTCTATAGGTTGTGCTGTGTTCTAGTTACTCAACGAGCCACCCCTGCTCCAACAGAGCAGGTCGTAGAAAACTATCTCATAAAGCACACAGGTTTGCTTCCTATTTAGGAGAAGAAAAGAGAAGTGAAATGACACTGCTCGAAGCCCGCCCCCTTCCCAGATGCTGTGCCTGAGGGGCAAAGGCAGGCAGAGCAGCCTTAGAGAGGGAGGAAGGGGGTGGGTTGATGGGAAAAGAGAGGGAAGGAGGAAAATAGAAGAGAGTGGGGCTCAGTTTGTCTTTGCAAAACATTCAGAGTGGGACTTTGTAACAGGACAGATGTGTGGGGTGGGGGGTCACAGACTGTGTGAGCCATCTGGTCACCCCAGATGGGGGTGTGGCACCTGCTGTCACTTTATGTGTTCGGGGAAGCTGGGCCAGCTCTTCTGAAGCTCTTCGTACCCTCATCTGCGATTCCGGACACTGTTCACAATGGAGCAATGCAGCAATTGTGTCCTCAGCTGGCTGCGTGTCCCCCAGAGCGCCGTGAGTCTAGGCGCATGTCACACACACTTTACCTTCTCTTCCAGCATAACTCCTTATAAAAATGACATGCACAAACACGAGCTAATTACTAATGGCTGGCCCTGGCTAAGCAATTTTAAAGACGGAAGCAGCAATTTAAAACAAGGTATAAAAAATTTGAATGTGAAACCATTTCATTAAACTTTAAGAATTATTAATTGCTGCTGCTTTTTGAAGATCCAAAAGGACATTCATTTTGTTTTCTTCAGAGCAAGAAAACTTGTAGTTGGGGGAGAGGGAGGTGAGGTAGGAGGGTTGGCAGAGTCTTCACTCTGGGGTCTTGGCTGTGGCACTGTAAAGTTAGTACATTTTAACATTATGGAAGTTAAAATTCTTTTTATTGTGAAAGATGTCGACATGCAGAAGAATGTGTAGGTGGTGTACCTACTACCGATAGGAAGAAACAAACATACATGTTGGTGGCAAACAGCAGACAGATGGGAATGCAATGAGACAAAGTCACCCTTCCCACTAGGATCAAACACTCCAGGCTCTGAGTGCCAGCTCTGCTGCAACTCACAGCCTGAGCAAGTCTCTTAACCTCCCCAGGCCTCAGTGTCTCCCTCTATAAAGCTTAGGAGCTTCTTTTGTGCCCCATTCTGATTGTACCCTCCTTCCTGGCCTAGGTGACCCCGCTCTTGGGTTTTGTGTTTAATCATTCCTTTGCTTTGCTTTACAGTTTTCGAACCTATGTGTGCATCCCTCAATGATATACTATTTAGTTTTCCAGGTTTTGAACTGCATATAAATGGAATCATGTTGTATGTATTCTTTTGTGTCTGGTTTCTTTTGCTCAGCGTTGCTGCCTATAGCTGCACTGTGTTCATTTTCACTGTGGCTTTTACTCATTGTGTGACTACACCTTTCTATCTTTCTACCTTTCTACCCTCATGGTCATTTCTAGACTTCTGCAGTATAAACAGAGAACCATGAACATTCTTTTCCATGTCTTCTGATGTATTTGTGCAAGAGTTTTTCTAGGGCATATGGTTATTTTTTTTAAAGTTATGCAAGTAGTATAGAAAACTATTTTATGATTAGTCTTCCACACTTAAAAAATAATGGCATCTTTTGATGTTCATCTTACACCACACTAGTTACCATTTTAGGAGCCCAACATGCATTAACTCATTTAATTTTTACAATTACCCTCTGAGGTTGGTGTTATTATTCTAGCTTTATAGAGGGGGACACTGAGGCCTGGGGAGGTTAAGAGACTTGCTCAGGCTGTGAGTTGCAGCAGAGCTGGCACTCAGAGCCTGGTGTGTTTGATCCTAGTGGGAAGGGTGATTCTGTCTCATTGCAGTCCCATCTGTCTGCTGTCTGCCACCAACAAAAGTATCACACAGTAGATAGTGTTTGCACATAACACACAAACACAAACACTCACTTATCTCTCCCTCATGCTCTCTTCAGGACTCTGCAGGGTGTTCTCAGGGCTCAGGGCCAGAGGATGGAGGAGGGCTCACCCTTGTTTTTGGTCAGCTTCCAGTACTAAGAGAAAAGCTGGACACGTGCCCAGATCATGAGCAAAATTGCAAACCCTGCATCACACCAATATGAACAAAGACTTTGTTCATGGATATGTTCCAAGGGCTTGGCACATAGTAGGTTCTTAATAAATATTTGTTGAATGAATGAAATGAATACCAGCTGCATATTAAGTGCTGCTGAGTAATGGAACCATCAAAGCTTGGTGGTTTATTGTGCAAAGCTTTGTGGCAGGATGGGGTGGGGACAAGATGAAGCAGACCACAGGGTGGCCATTCCTGGGGGTGGGGCTGGAGGGGGTGACATTCCTTGCTGGGGTCCAAAGGAGGAATGAAGTGAATGAGATATGTCCTTGACCAAAGTGAAGTCCTTGGGTGGCAGGGAAAGTCAGCCGACAAGGCAAGGATCCTGAAGGTCTGGGGGCAGAATGGAGACCAGGGGTCAGGTTGGGGAAGGAAGGAGAGAAGCAAATGGGAGGGGATTTCTAGGGAAAATGGGGAGAAGGGGGTGCTTCATTTTAGACTATTATTCTCAAGGGCCACTTAGAAGAAAGGGAGGAGACTGGTGGGGTGGGAGGAGTAGAATGGGAGGGAGAGATCTGGGGAGAGGGTCAGGAAGAGGAGGGAAGTGAAGGACAGTGGAGGGAAAACTGGGAGAAGACCCAGGGAGAATGGCAGAAGGTTACCTCCAGGGACAGAAGGGCAGAGGAGGGGGAGGTCAATGGAGGAGGGGTGCAGCACTGAGGGCAAGTACGTGAGGACCCCCTGAAGAGGTGGGCAGCCTCAGCTCCAGGTTGTAGTAATGAGCCCTCTCAGGGCAGGGACCTGGGGTGGGAGGTGCAGGGGCTCAGCCTTGTTAGTGGGATGAAGTTCACTAGGGCAGAGCCCCTGAGCCAGGCCCCAGCCCTACCCAGGCTTCCCACAAGGGCCTTTGGCCCCTTGGTCTAGTGGGATGCTCCTCTGGTGAGGTCTAATTGGCCAGTGTCCCATGCTGTTGTGGCTAAGGAGGCAGAGCTCTGACTTGGGCTTCTCCCCAGCCCACCAGCTAAAGTGCCCTGCCTGATGGCTAGAC